TAAGTTTAATTGTAAAATTGGTTGGTGCATTGAGATGCATGAGATTGTTGGTGGTAGAAGATGGAGCCATTACAGGATAACCGATTTGTGAGAGAGTGGAAAAAAAGAGTAGAGAAATTCTACTAGGCTCTGATTACCATGTAAAAGATTTGTATATTTGATATCTAATCTAATCTTTATCTTTGATATTGGTTTTGGTTTGGTGAATTCTTTTACCCTTTAAGTTTAAAAGATTGTCTATCCAATTCGATTGAGAAAAAATACAACATATTTCATAAATTATCAAATTTTTTCTACTTTCCCTTATCAAGTATTTTTATTATTGTAGAATTTTAAAGGGTATCTATCCAAAGAACATTAACTTCATCAACGAGATTGAAAAATCCAATATCAATTTTTGTATCGCTTAGATATGGTTGAATCGAAAAAAATAATTATGCTAGCATTGGTTGAATCACTTAGATAGAGTTGAATTAAAAAAAAATTATGCTAGCACTGGTTAATCAATTAGATATAGTTGAATTGAATAAAAAATTATGCTATCATTGGTTACACAGGCTTGAATCATTTAGGCTCAACTCTTTTCTTACAAAATTTATGTTTGTATATGTCAATTATTTAGTTTTATGTAGATTTGTCTCATAACAGTGACGAGGAAAATTCTCAAAGTTTGTCTTCCATAGGAAGGACAAATACAAATAAGATTGATTTGAATAGACTTGTGGTTGATAGTAAAGGTGCAATTTATGATTTGTATAACGACTATGGTAATGGCATGGGTTCAATGTTCGAAAAGGAAAAATGGATATATTTCTAGCACAAAAATTATCTGCAGTAAAGATCTCTACTATTATAAACAAGGTTTTAAAGAATTTGAAGATGACGGGAAGACAAAAAAAAAATAATAAATTGGAAACTAAAACTGGGTGTCTACCGATGCTTCGTTTTACAGTGTAAGATAATCAATGGACAATCACTCGTTTTATCTCTGAGCATAATCATGAATTGACAACTCCTATTGAAAGATATTTACTTAGATCAACTCGATCAATTCTAGAAAGCTAATGTTATTAATTCAATAGTTAGTGTCGACACACGTCCCAAAGATGTGTACTCTTACATGTCGAATGAAGTGAGGGGTGCTGAAAATATTGGGTTTACAGGATGAGATTGTTATAATTACCAGTGTTTTTAAAACCGAACCGGACCTTAAACTGGTGAAGCTACTGGTTCACTGGTTCAATCGGTTTGAACCGGATTATATAAAATAATATATTTTTTAAAATTTTACATAATATTCAAAGCAATATTAATACATACAACACTACAGAAAAGCGTCTAAAGAGCATAGAAGAGCAAAAATAGGAGAACAAAACAATCTCACATGACTAAGAAACATAGAAGAGCATCCCAAAAGTCTAAAGAGTAAAAATAGGAGAACAAAACAATCCCACATGGCTAAGAAACATAAAAGAACATCCCAATTGACTTCTATAAATAATAGAGGTAATTTGACATTCAAAATCATGGAGCCTTTTTGTGAGCACAGAGCGAATTATTCTTTCTCTTCAATTGAGCTCGAGTTTTAGGCTTCACTCGAGCTTCTATTTTTTTTGAATTCGAGCCTTTTCGAGTTCGAGTTTCAATATTATATTTTGAGTTTGAGTTGAGCTTGATAATTTTTAGCTTGCGAGTTTTTAAGTCGAGTTGAGCTTACTTTTAAAGTTTTTGAGTTCGAGTTGAGCTCAACAATACTTGAGTTCGACTCGGCTCGTTTAACAAACGACTTCGTTTGGTTTAAATTAAAAAAAAAACAGAACTGGTGGTTAACATCGGCTTTACCGGTTCTCAACCTGTTCTACTGGTTTTCAACCAGTTCATTGCAAAACTGGTTTTGGAAGTTAGTCGGACCGAACAGGCAACTGGTTCACGGTTCAATCGGTTGAATCGGCCGATCCGGTCCGGTTTTGATAACCATGATAATTACATAACAAACAAAAACTGATTATGATTGAATCCAGTGAAAATCAAAGTTTAATAAACCATTTCAAGGTCAAAGCAAGTGAAGATCCAATTTCTTTCTACACAGTTTAAGTGGATCAAGAAGCTCAGATCACAAACTTCTTTTGGAGAGATGGGTATTTCAAGGTTGATTATGATTGTTTTGGAGATGTTGTGGTTTTTTATACAAGTTATCTCAAAGTTTGTGCTGTTCATGTAAAAATGAGTTTGAATATTTATTCTTAATGATTTCTTATCCCAAATGTTGAGTGGTTCATGTAAAAATGAATTTGAAGAAATTCACCATACCTATTGTGAGGATGAGCTATTGAAAAAATTCTTAATTATTTTATAGTCCAATTTGGGTGGTTTATATTGAGATAACATGATTAAATAAACTACGTAAGTGAGAAGGATTAGCCATCTTCTATGAAAAATGTTGGCCATTTTTTTAGTACACTTACTAGAATCATGAGGAAAAAGGGTTATATATATACTTTCGTATATACACTTTGTAGACACATCGAGGATTTCAGTGGATGAAGGGGTTAATTATGTGTTATGAGTTCACCCTGATCTTAGAAAGTTCAAGATTCATTCATTTATTTAAGAGAAGAATTACTCGTCATCAATATGTACTAGTTCCAGATACGTTCACTATTGTTCTTCTTGTGTTTTAACTTCAAATTTCTCAATTTTACAAAAGAATTCTTTTGTATTAGTAGGGGAATGTTGGTAATACAAAGAATTTCACATTGGTATGAACCATTTGGTGTGGCCCGTTTCGATTAATATGTGTTTCTTTTAGATAAGATTCTCTTGATAAAATATTTAATATAGTTCATGGTCATTAGAAAATTATTATGTGTATACATTATCAATTACTAAAGTCTTTTGAACAAATATTACATTGTAACCATCGTATACTATTAAAAAATTTAGTACTTATTTATGTATAATTTATTTTATTTAGAGTAAATTTTATCATATACAATTGAATTTTAAATGTTGTATTGTTTATATCACTTAACTTTGATTTTTTCCAACTATATCACTGAATTATTAAATTGTTAGTTGCACAATAACATAATTGATGATAGTTAAAATAAATACCACATCGAAACAACGTCATTTTGATGATTATTTTGATACACAAAACGACATCATTTTGTTGGATAAAAATTAAAATTTAAATCACACTCTACATAGATTGAGCCTAAGCACTTAAGATCCAAAAGCTTACAATTAATCACTAAATCGAGTAAAATTTTAAAATAATTGCAATATAAATAACATATTTTTTTTAATTACGATAACGATTTCATTGTTCTAAACTGACTTTTCGCTTACTAAATTTGTTGTAAATTCGAATTAAAAAATAATTTTATAAAATCGAGTCAAATTGAATTCCAAAATAATTTACTATCCCTAATTTTACATTTGACATAAATTGAGTGGCAAATGTGACTCATAATTTATAATTGAACATTCTCGGGGCTGCTTTCAATGTAGAGCATTAAAATTTTACTAGGCTCAAATTTTACGTGGACTGCAGCAAGACAAGCCAGATAGCCAGCCTACTTTGCCTTTTGATTTTTTGGGATCGGACCAAAGGATTCTATTTGGGTACTAAAGGGTAATAAAATTGGTTGAACTATGTCGGTTCAAAAATACAGGGTTTTTATTAGGGATAGACATAGGACGGAACCGACGGTTCCGACCCGATCAGGTTGGATTTTTTTATAAAAAAAATTGGGTTCAGGTTGGGGTGGGTCGGGTCGGGTTTTTTTAAATATGATGTTCGAGTCGGGTCAAGTCTAGGTTTAGGGTGAAAAATACCCGTCCTGACCCAAAAATATATAATTTTACCTTATATATTTAAGAATAATTACAATAAAACCCCTATATATTATTTTTTTCAATTAAGTCACTATTTTTATTGAATAAAAATAATTTTTTTATTATTTCAGGCCGGGTCGAGTTTTTAAATTATATATCGGGTCGGGTTCGAGTCGGGTGAAAACTTATTTTAGTTGGGTCGGGTCGGGTCTCGGGTGGAGGACTCATTGTTCTCAGATCAGGTCTAGTGGACCAAAAACTTGACCTAACCCGACCCATGCCAATCCCTAATTTGTATCTATTTATTTTCAACCCTCTAACCAATCAATATGATATGGTGTTTTTCTCCGGTCTTTATATATATATATATATATATATATTTTTTCTGATATTCAATTTTTTATGTTAAATTAGCAATCCCATATTATGATGATAGAAAAAGATATTTTTTAGAGTGAATATATATATATTAATAATAAAAAAATTCATACGAACGAATATAAATAAAATTTTAGGGTGAACATTAATAATAAAATGAACAACTAATATATTTTAATATTTAATAGAATCGAAACAAGTTACATGTTAATAATTTCTCTCTTAGGTTCTTATATACTATTCCATCTCACGAAATTTGTCACTTTTAATTTTTAAAATTATTTTATTCAAAATATCTTCCTAAAATTTCAGCAGAAATAACTTTAATGTTTTATTTTTTATACTTACACGTCTAACTTTTTTACTCTTATCAAATAAATATGTTAAATCTATTGATTATGTTTTAAAAATAATTTTATTATCTCCTTCATTTTATATAACTTGATCAATTTTATTTCCAAAATTTTTATATTTAATTAACATGAGATAAAAAATAATGGGTCAAAAGAAGTAAACTTATATTTCTTCCATCCCACTAAATGTATTTATTATTGACCTTTTAAAAGTTAAAATTCCTAAATTTTAACTATGAATATTTTAATATTTAAAGTAATTAATTTTTATAAAATATATATTTAAAAATTACTAGATTTAAAGTTTTTTAAATATATTTTAAATATTTTTATCAATAATAAATTTTAAATAATAAAGACCCTGCTCACAAAATGTCAATCATAACTAAAATCCAAAACTTGTGCATTTCCCATAATGAAATTTTGTTCACTATCTTCATCTTCGTATTCGTCTCAGCTCCATGTTCAATACTCAACGGCTGCACCGGCATTCTTGCCGGCTGCTCCTCTGTCATCGTCTCCGAGCTTATCTCCGGATATCGAACCTTTGCTCCCCTACTCCTAAAGGCATGGCACCGGCTCCGGTTGATTCATCGATCCCATCTATCCCTTCAAGTCCCAGCCCTCCTAATCCAGACAGTATGTTGGCCCCTGGCCCTGGTTTTGAACTTGCACCATCTGGTTCGTTGCTGGAATCGGGTTCGGTTTCTTTAACATTGGATGGAGATATGAAATCTACATTGTTTCTTGGTTTGGTAGGGGCAGTTTTGTCATTGCAGTAGCTTTCTGGTGTGTGAGGTTCGATGGTGGCGACTTCAATTATTATTCCTACTGGCGTATCACTTTTTTTTCTTTGTTTTTGTTTCCTAGTATATGTTACTTTAGTTTCATGTTAGGTAAACCAAGTGTATGGCATTGCTGTAAACTGTTTTTATTCAGATAGAATACAGTTCACAATTTGATAACTCATAATCAAATCTGCAAACTAAATGTAACATTTATTTTTATCTTTTATATTTGTTTTAGGTTGTTATTTAATTGTCATATTTAATAAAAAAATTAAATTTCGAATTTAAATTCTTTTTTTAAATATTCTTCTGATATTGTTGTTGTTGGAGAGGCAAAGCGGGGGGTAGGCACAGTGCAAGCTGTGTGGAAAATGATGATTTGGTGAATAGGAATAGCCATAGGAATTGGACTCACAACCACTGTGCTCGGGAAAAAGGAGAGGGATGTGCTCTGCTCTGCTGAATCGTTGGATCATTGCTCCTCCTCTTTTTCAAAAAGATTATGTACTTAGCACTCGATTGGGTTGCGAAAGTTATACGATTCAATGTCTGTACTACTAGCGGTTTCTTCCATGTATTTCCATGGATTCCTGGTTGTCGAGATCCATTTATAGAGCTCAAAACGGTTATTTATTCACAAAGTCCGGTTGTTTTCTCATCAAGTTCATAGATTATTAGGATTGGATCGTTGTTCAGTTGTCAAAAATCATTCGCGGTGTTCATTCTTAGTGGAGGAAGTTGAAGGTAAGAGTAGTCTTTATTATCATTATTGTATTTTACTCGTGATTTAAGTCTTGCAGGATCTTCTTAAGGGTCGTTGGCGACGGAAAGAACTAAAGAGAGGAATTGTAGCCTATGGGAACACTTGAATTTGTTTTGATGGGAATGGGTTCGTTAAGGGAGGAGAGGAGGTTTGGAAGATGAGTGATCGGGGAAAACTGGTAACAGGTCGATGAGTTCGGTGGAGGCTTGAGTCGGAAAAGTTAGTAGGTTCCGATAAGGGAAAGGTTGAAGATGATCAGAGTTGGTTTACTAGAAGTAGAAGGGGGAGAGAAAGGAAAGTCTAGAGGCTGTTACACGTATGCAACTGCTGATGTACGGACTGGAAAGTGGTTATGGGTTTGGTTTGTTAAAGTGAAGCTATCCATTAATGGAGGAAGCATGTGGTATTGCGATTTGGGGGTGAATTATATTAGAAGGAATTATCAAACAAGGAAAGTTGGGGGACTTTTGATTGAAGAGACAAGTCAAGAGCCTATTATAGAAATGATATTAGGTTATTTTCGGAGATTTTACTGAAAGTATTTTAAATGGAAGTCTCTAAGGATGTTTGAATATGGTTTGTGGTCTTGTCAAGTGGGAGAACAATTTATTTATTCTTCTAGATGATAGCAGATTATGCAGCAGGTAGATTATTATCAATGTGGTATGGGTCTGGTCTACTAGATGTACTGCCCTGTGCAGAGAGCAGGTGAATTTGGCTGGGACCAGGATAGGAGCGGGAGTTTAAAGTCCTGTCAGGCAGAGCATGTGTGCAGTATCTGCGGTCACTGTACGGACAGGTCTATAGACTGGAAAATCTGCGTGAGATTGCTTCTTTGCGGGGAAATGGAAAATTCAAATAAATTTATTTGGGTTGGTATTATGAAGAGATATTTTATTTTAAAGAATTTCTTAAGGGTTGGCAGAGGGTGTAAGTGGAGAAAGTCACATAAAAAATATCTTAGTCAATGCGATGGGATTGCTAGCCGGGATTGGGAAAGAAGTCTAAGGGGAGAGAAGGTGGCTCTTACCTATTACACTCTCAAAAGAAATAATTTTGCTTTTGGCTTTGATTTTCGGAGTAACTCTATTGAAGTGTTGGCTATCAAAGAAGGGTGTAAGAGTGGTATTTTTGCTTTCTCCTTCAATTGATCATTCTACGAGTAAATTATCAGAAGAGGTTGCGAATCTTATGCAGCATCTAAGGTTCACAGAGGAGGAGTAGGACGATATCTCTCCTCCAAGGGTCATTGCTGAAGATGATTTGGTGGAAATGGATAAGTGGATCGTTGGGAAGATCATTTGCTACAAGAGAGTCGATATCGAGGTGGTGTTGTGGGTCTTCTGCTCTATTTGGGGTCATGCTAGACTCACGAACTCAAGCATTTTGAAAGACAATATGTTCTTGTTTAAGTTCAAATCGCTCTCTGATAAGCAAGCGATTCTCAAACGCACCCCATGGAGTTTTGAAGGAACTATTTTAGCAATAGCACATTTTGACCCGACATTGAGTCTTGAAGAATCTGACTTCAGGCCTCTTGCTATGTGGGTGAGAATTTATGAGCTCCCCTTGGGGCTTATACGGATTGAGACAGCGGAAAAGATTGGCAACAGAATAGGGAAGACCATTGCTACTGATACAAGGTCCGGAGAAGGAAGAATGGGTGACTATCTTCGGGTTAGAGTGGAGATTGATTGCACCAAGGGGAAGCTAACAGAGTTGCCCACTCCTTAGCTCAATGGGCCTTATCAAACCATAATCCAGTTTGGTTTTTCCTAGATGAACCTGATTGTATCAAACAACTTGTAATTGATGATGTTATTGGAATATAAGTTGTTATTCCTTAAAAAAACAATGTCTGTACTACAAGCTGCTAGTTGAAAGGGCTCTGCTGTAATGGTCGGCTATTATATATATATAATACTTACGTGACACTATATTTCCCAAAAATTTAGGGTAAAGTATAATAATGGTCATTGAACTTTTGTGACACTTGCATTTAGGTCCCCAACTTTTAAAACTTGCAATATAATCCTCCAATATTTTGTCTGTTTGCAATATGGTCCCTGACGTAACCGGCTGTTTGACGTTGTTACATTACCGTTAGTACGTTTGCAATATGATCAATGGACTTTTCAGGCTCTTGCATTTAGGTCCCCCAACTTTTAAAACTTGCAACACAATCCTCAATTTCATTCTAAAACCCAAATTCCTTTTCGAGCTCGAATTTCCTTTACGCTTCTCTCTTCTCATTTCCAACGTAACTTTTCAGTCGAGGATGCATGGGAAATTCTAATCTAACTTTGAATTATGTGGAGGTGTTGACTTGAATAAGGGTTCATTGAGAGAAGACCCGATCAAAGGGACTATCAGGACCATCAATGATTCAAGGTGTAATGTTAGATACATGTCATCTCAGGTGAAGCATAGATGTTCGATGAAATACTTGTGAGAAAAAAATGGGGTTAGAAATGCAGAGTTGACAAATACTACTAAGATGAACTAAGTATCATTGTTAAAAGTCACCAACAAAGCTGAAATTATTTTGTATAAATGACATATAATAATTTCTTCATTTAATCATTGTAGTTAAAGATTTTCCAATAGATGATCGAATATAATGAAATCCCAAATAGCGCCTTTACCTCTCAGTCTCTTTCAATCTCATGCATCTCTTTTGGTTTTTGTTCTTCAATTTTCCGCCATGTAAAATCGTAAACCCAAGCAGTGCTTTGTCTTTAAGCTTTTTATTTACAAAGAAAAAATGGAGGAAGAATTACTGAAATGCAACACTGATTGCATTTATTTCTTAGTCTCTCCCCTCACTTACAAGAAGGTATTTATTTTCTCTCTTGGGCTATTCGGAAGTAAGCTTTTCATCTTTCGTACTTTCCTATTTTCAGCTTGCATTGCGTGTTTTTTTGTTGAATTTTTATGTTTCTGGAACTACATGTCAAGGATCTAGATATTCACTGTTAGTTTTGAACCAAAACCATCTAATTTTCTTTCTTTCTTCTTAATCAAAATTTTTAGTACTCCTTATGAAAAATATTCAGTCCATCAGAATAGAAGTGAAAGAGTGTCCTATATTAATTATTTTTATCTTCTTGTTTGGTTTTTCTTTGAATTAGGAATTTGGTTGTGAGTATCGACATAGTGAAATCGCCAGGCTCAACCCGAGAGGCTGCTGGTACTAGTTTACTGGGAATTGTATTGATCCAACATGTGGTTTTTGATGTCCTATGAGATCGTATTCTTTTTAATAAGTTCATGTTGATTATGGGACTAATATATCGTGAACAAATTGATTTTTTTTTTACATGTTTTGGAAATTTTACAGTTGAATCTGTATTGAATTATAGCTTTAGAAGACAATTCTGCATGCACGCAACTCAAAAGAATCATGATAGGGTAGTATATTTGGAGCAACTACTTGATATGTTGCCCGCTCATTGCACATTTGCATCTTAATTTTTGGCATATATATGTTTGTTGCAGTGTCCTCTATGTTTTACAATTTCTTTTATTGCTGACATGCCATAAATTTACAAGAATTATAGGGTCATATGATTTTAGTTCCGCTATCTGCTTTAGATTCTCATCATGTTTGGCTATTGAGGAACATTAAAAATGGATCATTAGAAGCAATTATATGTTAAAAGGGTAGGCCATTAATGCATTTGTAACTGGTAATGTTGTATTTGACATCTAATGTCTATCTTAAACAACCCATTTGATGCCTTAGCCTTTGGAGTGACTATGATCGAACCTCTTTCCCTTTATTTATTAAGTCCTCCTTTTGAATGAGTTATTAATTGATATTCTTGGTTTATTTTAGTCATTGCTTGGTTGTATATTGTAGTTCTATGAACTAAAACTCTTTACTATTTTCGTAGTCGTTGGATGTGCATGCTCAAGTTCTATCCAAACTGTCGTAATCGGTTTTTGCCAGGGCACAAAATTTTTACTTGGCGGGAAAAGTAATGTGTGCATAAATGGTTTTTTAACTGTTTTGGAAGTCGCCATCGGCCTTTTGGATCAGGTAGGTCGAATACCTAAAAATTATCTTTTAAAAGAGTTTTTAAGAAAACATCAGTTAAAAGATAAACTGGTTTGCGTTTTAACCAAAAATTCGTTCTTTTTAATAATAAAAAGGGATTCGTGGTCGATTACGTTTAGGGAAGGATTAGCACCCCACAACGCCCAAAATTAGTACTTATTAATTATAAATTGTCTCTATTATTATAAATTTAAATATTCAAAGATATATTTAATTTATAATCTTGTTATTTGAAATTTATTACTATAATTTTAAGAAAATCTATTAATTTATATATATAAAAATAAAATATTTATTT